GCACAGCCTTCCTCCCGGGGTCCTCCATTGTTTGATCAAGGCACACTCCCTTAGGGGCTGGGGAGGTCGGGGCGGGACGCCCGGGGTTGCGACTCCCCTCGGAGCGGGAGTGACCATCTTCCGCGGTCGGAGGGCCCCCGCCGGGATGTTCCAACGCGAAGGTTGCCCACATGCCCGGCGTGGTGGCGCTTTAAGGGGGCGGGTGCAGTGCCGGGGGCGGGAGCGGCGGCCATGGCGGCGGTGCTGGCGCGGGGACTGGTGCGGGGCGCGCTGCGCCCGGCGCAGGTGGGCGCGGGGAGACGCGGGGATGGGGGAATCCCGGGGTAAGGGGGGCACACCGGGGTGTGCGGGGTAACAGGGGCACCGGAGCGGGTCCGCACCATCCTCGCCATTGCTTACACCTTCGGGCAAAGTCCGGGCATGCGCGCCGGTCCGTGCACCCCTAGGCCGCGGCCCGCGGCCTCGGAGCACCCGTGGGTATCCACCCCCAGCCCAGCCTGCGCCCCCTTGGGCTCAGCCGCACCCCCAGGGCACAGATCTCTGTCAGGCCCGTAGACAGCCCCCTGTTAGCCTAGTGAGCACAGCCCACTGTCCAGGCTGTGGACAGTCGCCTGTCACCCCGTCAGCACAGCCCGCGACCAGCCCCCTGGGCATCTGCCCCTCTTACCCCTATCACTGTTACCCCCGTGTGCACCTCCCTGTTGCCCCATGTGATACCCCCTGTCAGAGCCAAGCATCACTCCCGTGTGCACCCCACCATCACCCCTATATACAGCCCCCCAGGACCCCTGTATGAATCCCACCACTTTCCACATGCATCCCCTATCACATTCACCATCACCTCATGCATTAGTCCGATCACCCCCACGTGCATCCCTTGCCATTATTCCAGCGTGCACTGGACATCAGCCTCCTGTGCATCCCCCCACATGTCCCCTGCCACCCCCACTTGCATCCCACCATTACCCCCATGTGCTCCCCTCCGTCACCCACCCCCAGGGCTGTGTCCTTGTCCTTGTCTCTGTGGGCACAGGCTGTAAGCTAGGTATGCCCCGCAGCCCCAGCGGTGCTTGTCGGCGCCCAGCAGGCGGGACGGGGAGGTGGGCAAGGCACAGCAGGCAGCAGCAGCTGGCGAGGAAGCAGGAGGGCAGCCCACCATCTTCAGCAAGATCATCGACCGCACCATCCCTGCCACCATTCTCTATGAGGATGACAAGGTAGCTGGGACAGCAGGAGCTGTGTCCCCACCGGGGCAGGGGGGCAGAACCCACGGGTGTGAGGCTTACCCTGCTCCCCCTGGTAGTGCCTCGTCTTCCGTGATGTGGCCCCACAAGCCCCCGTGCACTTCCTGGTGATCCCCAAGCGTCCCATCCCCCGGATCAGCCGCGTGGGTCCCCAGGACACTGAGGTGAGTTTGGAGAGGGCCCTGAGACATTGGTGGTGGGCGTCATACAGTGCTGACCCTGCCACTCCCCCTCCTTCAGCTGCTGGGGCATCTGATGGTGGTGGCAGCACGCACGGCACAGGCAGAGGGGCTGGCTGATGGCTACCGCCTTGGTGAGTTAATATCCCCTACCGTGCTGTGGGGCAAGACCCTCACTGGTGCTCCTGGGGGGCTGGGGACAAAGGAGGTGGCCTGACCCTTGTACCTCTCCTGACAGTAATCAACGATGGGAAACATGGCGCACAGTCTGTCTACCACCTGCACCTCCATGTGTTGGGGGGGCGGCAGATGGGCTGGCCCCCTGGCTAATGCCCACTACCCACTTGCTCTCCAATAAAACATCTCCTTGATGGTAACTTCAGTGGCTCTGCGTTGGGGTGGCTTTATTGGGGGTGGAGGTGGCTGGCCTGAGTTGGGCAGGGCTGGCCTCCATTGTTACAGCAGTAGAGCTGGTACTCTGCTTTTTGCAGAGGGTCTGGGCTCCCCATGTACCAGCCCCACAGTTGAAGCAGAAGGGTTTTGTGAGGCTGCTCACAGGCAAAAGACTCATTTTGTTGCTGGGCTGGGAGAGCAGGCTGCGTGCCACAAGGTTGTCCCCAAGGTGGAGAACATCCTAGGGGTGTCAGTAGTGCGCCACGTCCAGGGCTGCCCAGCCAGCCCCATTGCCACCACGCAGCCCCAGCATCCCTGAATGCCCCTGCTCTGCCACAGGTTGCCCGCTGCACTGAACACTGATGTTTCCCTGCTTTTCAAAACCAGTTAATTGCACTAGATTGATCTGAATGCCCTCAGAGCAGGCTTGTTGACTGCATGTGTACTTCTTGTCCACCCCAGACGGGCCTCTCTGGGAGCTCCCAGGAGGATCATAACCCTGAGCAGAGCACAGGGCAGGACAAGCTGTGTGGTGGGTGGACCAGCTGCCCCCTCTGTGTACACATACCCATGTACTCCCCCACTGTACTGCTTGAGTGTGCCCTGCCATGCAAAACCCAAATGCACTGCTCACCCCAGACTCCCCAGCTACCCACCTCCGAGGGAAACTCACTGCACTGCTCACCCCAGACCCCCCCCAAGCGCACACCGAGGAAAACACAGTGTACCCTTCGCTGCAGACCCCACAACCGTGAATCACCGATGGAAACTGCACACCCCAGAGCCCTCTGCACACAAAGCCCCGCCGCTCCGAGCACGCACAGCGCTGTTTACAGGTCTTGACCGGGGCTGGGCCCACACGTGTCGGCGCCGGCCCCGTGAGGGGAGCACACGCGGGGCTCGGCGCATGCGGCCGCCGCTCCCTGCCGCGTGCCTCCCGCGTCCGCTGCTCCGTGGCCGCCTGCCGGGGCTATATTTAGTGGCAGGGGCCGGTGCTGGCGCGGTGCACGGCCCACCTGGCACCGCCGTCGGGACCGCCTGGGCCCCCGCCAGCCGGCGCGCAGGGGACCGCAGCCCGCCGGGGAGAATGGCGGCTCTGTTCATCCCCCGGCTCGGTGGCGCTGGCGGCGGGGGGCCCCCGGGAGCTGTGTGGGGCTGTGGCAGACCCCAGTCACTTTCCACACATACACACCCAGTATAGTATGGGGAATGTTTTCGGGATGTAAATGAGCCTTAAAATTGTTGATACTGCTGCTTCCTGCCTCTAAGGCTCAGCGCGGGCTGGGGCCGCTCTTGAACTGAGGGCAGCCCCGAGTTCAGCCTTTGGGATATGTACCCCAGAGAGGGTTGGGTGTCCCTGGCGAGATGGGGACGCTAAAGAGGGGCCAGGGATCCCCAGGACATCATCCCCCAGGGCTCACCCAGAGCAGTCCCACAGGGAGTGCTGTACTGGGCACAAGGCATGGGCTGGCACGCGAGGTCAGGGCCAGTCGCCTGCCATCGTGTTTCTTCCTGTGCCAGGTTTATTTTGTCAGTCCCCAAGCAGCGGCAGAGCAGGACAGTGGGCACAGCCCCATGGGGCCGAGGCGGGGGGGGAAACGGGGCCCAACGGCTGTTTTGGTTCCTCAGCCGGAGAGGATCACAAATGACGCAAGTTCCCAAAAGAGCCGGGCGGGGGGGCTGCGAGGGATGTGTCAGCCGGCGGCGAGAGGCAGCCAGATGTGCTACAGCAGCTCCAGGGCTGCTGCCCCGAGCGGATGCTACCAGAGCACAGCCCCACAGTGATGCCCCATAGACCATGCCAGGGTGATTTGCCCCCCAGTGGGCGCGCATACCCGGGGTGGCATCGCCAAGCTCCCTGTCCCACGGTGTACTTTGGTGCTGTTGGTGTCCCTTCAGTATCCCTCAGGCACCCGTGCTGCCTAGCCACGGGGGAGCCCAGGGGTGTTTGGTGAGGAATCTGAGGATGCTCCTAGGAAGACCACGAAGGGATGCAAGCTGGGACAGGATCCCCAAGCTGCCACCCCTGGGGGCACCCTGGCACCAACCTCTCACCAGGGGAAGCAGGGCTTATGTGGCCCCAGCATGAGGAAGCCATGAGATGAGCTTGGGACATGTCTCCCATTTCTTCCTCCTCCCTGCAGCTGTGCAGCAGATGGGCTTGGAGGAGCCCCTGCTTGGCACGGGGCCGAGGGCCCGCAGGGAGGAGCGGTCCCCAGCGGGGGCCCCCCCAGCCCGCCGAGGCCAGAAGGACCGAGCACATGCCCAGCCAGGAAAAACAGAGGCCCCAGCGCGGAGCGCACGGTGCCCCGTCGGCACACACCGCAAAGCGCTGGAATAACAGCCCTCGCTCCCGAGCTCTCCGCCCGCTATCAAAGGGCCCTTCTTCTGCTCGGCCTCTGCGGGGATGGGGCCGGGGGCCCATCGAGGGCTGGTGGTGAGAGAGGCTGCTGCTCCAAGCCGGCGGGCACGGGCTGCACCCAGCCAGGCGCCGGGCACATCCCGCCCCATCACCCTAGGGCAGCTGGGAGTCCCTGGGGCAAGTGGGCATATTCCACTGCCAGGCCCAAGTAGTGTGGCGGTCACTTGGGTCAAGCCGTGAGGAGCAGTGTGTCCTCAGGGGCCCTGGGCACATCCCTCCTGCTGCTTCAGTGGGGCTGGGCTGGCTCTGCCGAGGTACTGAGCACTCCCGAGAGACCCCGCGACTAGCTTTGCCCCAAGTGCACCAGCACAAGATGGTACATGGACCCCAGAAGTGGGGACAGCCTTGATCCTATAGCGCAGCATGGACACCTCTCTGTCCCTGCAGCCCTGCGCCCCCATCCCTGATACTCCCATCCTTCCGCACCTCCGTGCCCTGTACCCCCGTCCCTCCGTGTCCCTGCTCCCCTGCCCCACACAGCCCCGTCCCCCACGTCCCTGCACCCCGTTCCCCACACGGCCCCGTCCCCCGTACACCACACAGCCCCCTGGCCCACACAGCTCCGTCCCCTCTCACCGCCCGCTCACGCTGACCACGCCCCGCCCCGCCCACTCATTCGAGACCACGCCCATGATCCGTTTAACTAATCCTCTTGTCCCGCCCAGTTTGACACATGGCCACACCCCCTCCATGTTCTCTCCGCCAATGGGAGGCGCCCTTGCGCGCGGCTCCACCCCCTCCGGGCGCGGGGCCGCCGTGCACCGTCTCCATGGCGAGAGGCGCGTCCCGCCGCGCGCACGCGCAATGGAGGGGAGAGGCGGCTGCAGGCGGCGAGAGCCCATGGGGTAACCCCGGGGGAGAGCCGGGGCAGGGCCTGTGGAGCGCTGGGGGCCAGGGCGGAGTGACATGATGGTGGCCCCAATCTGTGGGGAGGTCGGCTGCAGGAGGGGTCTGAGCCCAGGCAGGGGGGTGGGAAGAGTGTTGCTGATGGAGGTCAAGGGGACAGAAGGGAGTTACGGAGGGGAAACCCCTCGAAATGACATGCCCAGCAGCAGGCTCTGCTTCTGTCGCCCAAAAGGAGTGGAATCCATTGCTCCAGTGTGGGGGTGACACTGCAGAGGACCCGGGGTCAGGACGCGGCCTGTGCTGGTAGGGGCTGGGGACGCGGTTGGCAATGGCGGATGGGCCGCGCTGCCTTTCCTCAGGGTCTGTTCCCATCTGCAGGGGCGCTCTGAGCAGCCATGTGGGTCCCAGAGGCCATGAGGAGAGGCCACCGCTCTGGGTCCAGGGTGAGGAGCCCCTGCCTGAGGAGAGGCTCCCGTACAGCGGGGAGACGCTTGCAACCACCACCAAGAGGCTCCGGGAGATGTCAGAGATAGCCGAGCCGCCCTGGGAGATGTCAGAGATAGCCGAGCCGCCCCAGGAGATAGCAGACACAGATGAGCTGCCCACTGTGCCCCTATCAGCCGTGCCCAGCAAGGTGCCATCCCGAGAGATTAGGAGGAATCCCTCTGAGATCAAGCTGCCTCCCTGGCTTGGAAAGTGGGGGACTGGCTCCGAGGAGAAGTCCTCCGCCACACTGCCGGCGCTGCCGCCCACCCCATCCACGCCAGCAGAGAAGCCCAGCCAGGCGGTGCCCCAGCGGAGCTGTGTGACCCATGACTGGCAGAAGGAGGTAACTCCATAAGGGAAAATGCCCCATCGTGTCCCACATGCTGATCTTGTGAAGCTCCCTGCTCCTGCACAGACACATCTCTTTAAATAGCCACCCGGATGACCTTGAGTCCAGCAGGATAGAAAAGGGATGAAACTCAATAGCACAAAAGGCACAGGCAGCACGTGGGGAGTAACAGTAAGGCAGGAGGGGAGCTGGGATCTCACTGCTGGGAGGAGCTGTGTGTCATGGCTCATCACAGTGATGCGGGGATGCCTGCTTGGGCAAGACAAGCTGGGGGGCACCTGATAGACCAAACTGTGCCATAGCCTGGGGACTCCATGGGTTGTTTCAAGTGCCGTAAGAGCGCTCGCCCAGGGGCAGTCTGGGCACCCAGGTGCTTGGGACTGCCATACAAAGCTGGCTGTCCTCCACCAGGCAGCACAGGTCAGCCCTGCCCAAGCTGTGTCCCTGCTCCAGCTTTCCTAGGCTTCTAGCCAGAAAGATAACACCTCTTTACAGCTTATGCCTCTAGGGCTATCAAAAGCATAAAAGCCAGGAGCAGACATGGGGAAATGCAGCATGGGCTCCTGCCTCCTTCCACAGCCCCCACTGACCATCCCTAGGTAGTCGTGGATCCCCTGGACTCTCGGCCAAGGAAGGATTTGGGCAGTGAGGACTTACAGCGTGGCTACGATGGACTGCCAATCCACCAATTTCTCTCCTCAGTCACTGACAGCGCCCCCCCGAAGGACTGCCCAACCCTCAGGGCTGTGCTGCTGGGGCAAGGTGAGGCTGGCCCCCACAAGCCATGTGCAAAGGTGGCAGGGGAATCTTAGCTAAGAGGCTGACGGCACCTTCCCCTCTGCAGGGCAGCGGAAGGCCGCATTGGCATCCATGCTCTTCAAGAAATACAGGCAAGCCTGCACACCCGCATGAGACCCTCCCTTGGGGCTGTGCCCCGGAGTAGGGGACCTGGGGAGGTGGGGATCCCAGAGCTGAGAGGTGTGGGGTCTGCTCTGACTGCAGCAAGGAGACGGAGGAGGAGATTCGGCCCCGCCCAAAGCGCATGGAATCTATCTCCACCACGCATGATGACTACTGTGCCATGGGCTTCCAGTCCACACCCCAGCCCATCACCCAGGTACAGTCAGTAGATATCCCCCCCAGCAGCTTGCAGCAGCCTCCAGGGAGGCGGCAAGGCTCTTGTCCTGCTGAGCATGCCATCCCCTCCGGCTCACATTTTGCTTCCACTGCAGCGTCACGATTACTTAACGGAGCAGCCAAGCAGCTTCTGGATGGAGCAAGCCCGTGGACGGCCGGTAAGGCTCCCACCACCCTGTCCTGCCAGTACCCTGGGACTCTCAGCTGCTGAAAGAGATCTCTCCAATTCTCTCCTCTCCAGGGTGTCACTGCCCTCTTCGGCACAAACATTCCCTTCAAGAGGAATGCAGACTTCTCCACTCCCATTACCATGTACTTAGGGCATCCTGAGCCCTTCAACCTCTATGACCCCTATGACCCCCCGAGCAGACAGCTCCAGCCCCACAAGTAATAAAAAACAAGGGGACACAGGTAGTCCCAGCACCCTTGCCTACTCCAAGGCTGTTTCAAGCTGAATGTTTGGAGGGGGAGCACTCTGTCCCTGGGATTCTCAAATCCCCTGAGAGCATGAAGCAAAATGGAAAACCCTTCAGCCCTGTTGCAAGTCACTGTTGACCAAAAACACCCTGTGGTCCCAAGATTTCCTCCTTAGGCATGGAGGCAGAGCCCTGGCACAAGCCCCATCCCCTGGGACACGTCCCCTCCTGGCGCACGCAGGCAGTGGGTGACAGGCAGCCGTTGTTCCAGTCCCCAGGCACAGGTGTGTTCCAGTAAGAGGCGGCAGCGGGGCGGCCAGAGCATGAGCTCAGAGGAACGCACTGCAGCCCTCACGCCAAAGCAAACCCACGGCAGCCCTGCCTTCCCAGCACCGCCCAAGCCCTCAACAGCCGCTCTGCGACCGCCCAGCACTGGCTCCCCATGCCCACACTCCTGCCCTGCACCGCAGACAGACCCCCAGGATACAATCTCTTGGGATGTTTCAGGCAGCTGTCGCCAGCCCAGGCTGAGTTCCATATTGGCATTTCCCCGGCCTCCTTCCCCACTTGGCATGCTGGGGCAGAGCGAAGTAGAGGCCACAGGACAGATTGATCTGGGGAAGTTTGTATTTCAACAAAATAGTTGCAGCAAGTCCTATATTTACACCTGGAGGAGGGATGGGTATTTACATGACCCAGTGGGGTTATATACAGGGGAAAGGGAGACTGGGGAGGGGGGGAGCTGCGGCATTGAAGCCTGACCTGGCCAAGGAGTCAGTCTTGGCAGGAATCCCCATTTCCCCCCACCCCAGGGAGGGGTTGACATGGGCACAACTTCTGCTGGGGGCAAGGTACTGAAAAGAGAGGGCAAAGTGCCCTGCGGGGCAGCCAGGCCCCGGAGAAGCTCAGAGCCAGCTGAGCCACAGGGGAGAGGGCAGGGGTGGCAGACCTCAGAGTGGGGGGTGAATACAAGGTCTCTTGGGCTGGATGGGGGCTGGTTACCCCACTCCAGCAGAGGCTGTGGGGAAGGTGGGCTTTGCTGGTGCTGATGGAGGGGAGCAGACGGTGCTGTGGCCGCTGCCCCACCTTGCCCCGGCCCTGCTGAAGCAGGGGGGCTGCAGAGTCAGGTGGATGCAGTGTCAGGTGGATGGGGGGGTGCCGGTGCATCCTGGGGCACCGGAAAGCACTGGTGGCCCCATTGAGCTGGGGGCTCTGCCACAGCCACTGGGCTCAAATGACTTAAGGGTCTTTCCTCTCACCCAGCAGCCAGTATGTCCGCATCTTTCCCTTGCCCTGGAGGCAGAGGTGAGCAAGTTAGATCCTGCCTGCCCCTGGAGCTGCTCCTTGGGTGTCATCCCCAGCACTGAGAGCAACAAGGGGTCCCAGCCCCAACCCACCTCCCCATCACATTTCCCTATGGTTGGAAGGGCTGGCACCCCAATGGCATTGCTGAGCCCTCACCTTCATTTCTACATCGCCACGTAGCTCCAGATCAAAGCAGCCGAACTCATCCAGGACTTCTTTGGTGGCAGATGAGACATGGATCTTCAGGGCTGAGTAGTACAGAGGAGCAAGAGAGACATGGCTGGGTGCCACGGGAACAGGACACACCCCGTGGCTCTGGATTCTCCTGCCCTAGCTTACCCTGGCCGTTGGATTCCATGCGGGATGCGGTGTTCACCGTGTCCCCGAAGAGGCAGTACCTTGGCATCTTGAGGCCCACCACCCCGGCGCAGACGGGACCTGCAGGCACAGAGGCACTTGGGGATGCTGCAGGGCGGGCAGGTGGGTGGGCAGGCACCCCCCAGCTGGCCGGCATGGGGGCTCACCAGTGTGTATGCCAATGCGCAGGTGGAGCTGGTCGTTGGGACGGTGACGGATCTTGAAGGTTTTGACAGCCTCGAGCAGGGCCAGGGCCATACGGACAATCTCACGGGCATGCAGCTTCCCATTGCGCACCGGCAGCCCCGAGACCACCATGTAGGCATCCCCTATGGTCTCCACCTGTGGGGGCAAGGGGGGCAGGTACAACCTGGGCTCCTTGCTGCCTGCCTAACTCTGGATGGCTGTGCTTGCTCACCACACCACTCACCTTGTAGACGTCAAAGTTGTCGATAATGGCATCAAAGCAAGTATAGAGATCGTTCAGCAGCATCACGACCTATATGGAACAAGGGTGTGTGTGCATTTGGGAGAGGACATGTCCCCCCAGCCCCAGGGATGGCACTGCCAGGGTGTGAGACTTCCACCAGCCCCACAGAGGTGCTGCCCCCCAAGTCCTGCTCTCACCTGCATGGGAGTGCTCTCTGCTGAGAGGGCGGTGAAGCCCACGATGTCACTGAAGTAGATGGTGACACTGTCGAAAGCCTCAGCTCGCACTGTCTCTCCACGCTTCAGCTGCTCTGCCACAGAACTGGCAAGGATAGTGGTGAGCTCCACCCCAAACCCACTGTTCCCCCTGCAACCCTTGCCCCACACCAGCACGGAGAGCTGGCAAGGGACTCCATACTTGCACAGCAGCAGGTGCATGCTGAACCCACACCAACCCTCAGACCCACACACCCCCTTGTGTCCCCCTCTCACTGGGGCAGAATCTGGTAGAGGAGGTTCTCTGCCTTGCGCTTCTCCTCCAGGTAGGCCTGTGTCCTCTCTTCCACCAGCTTCTCGAGGTTATTGGCATACTGTTCCATGCGCGACAGCAGGTTGTCCAGGATGCTGGTGCTTCCCTCCCTGGCAGGGTGCAGTCGGTTGGCACTGCAGGAAGAGTTGCCCCCCAACCACCACCCCCATGGCTGTCCCCACTTCCACCCAGGGCCACCACCCCCATATGCCAACCACCCACTTGTTGAATCTACGGATGAAGATCTTGATCTGACTGAAGTCAGGGCGCTCGGCCGGCTCCTGCGCCCAGCAGCGTTCCATCAGCACAGCCAGCTCCTCGCTGTGCACTCCGATGTCGATGGAGGGCCGGAAGAAGGGCTTCTGGCTGTTACGCACCTTCTGCACGATCTCTGCCAGGGCGTGGCCAACAGTAAGCACCGGGCTTCCATGGTGGGGCAGGAGCTCCACACATGTGCTCTCCATCCTCACCTTTAGGGCTCAGGTCCATGCCCTCGATGTAGAAGGGGCCGTTGCGCAAAGCAACCTCCTGCACGATGATGCCAAAGCTGTAGACATCAGCTTTCTGCATGCCCGGGGTGGGCAGGTGTCCCTTCTGCAGCAGCTCTGGGGCTGTCCACAGCTTCTCTGGTGGGACAAAGCAATGGAGCAGTGAGACAGGGCCACCCCATCCTCCTGGTCCTCCCAGGCAGGCACTCACTGGCATAGAGTGCATGTGTGTCCTCATTGTCGCTGGGCGAGCGGAAGCTGGCCAGGCCGTAGTCGGTGATCTTCAGCACGAAGCGGCTGTCCACCACGCAGTTGGATGACTTGAGGCTGCCGTGATGGCCAATGATGCTGTTGTGCAGGAAGGCCATTCCCTGGGACAGATGGACACAGTGAAGCTCATATCCCTCAGGCACCTCTCCCCATCCCCTCACACCCCTCAGCTGGATACCTTGACAATGTCATTAATGAGGGAGTAGCGGAACATCCAGTCCAAGTTGATGCTCTCATTCTCCAGGACATCCTGCGGTAGCACATTGAGTGGACCCCACCAGGCACCCAGGTCATGGTGATGGCAGCCTCACCAAGTGCCCAGTTCGGGGGTCTGCAGCACCCACCCCCTCCCCTCCACTGGCCTCTGACAACTGCTTGGACAGCTCAGCTGTGAGCATTATTGGGAGGGCTCAGGTGGCCACCAGCATCCACAGCCCCATCCACAACACGCAGCCCAGCTGGGTCACTAGAAATGAAATGTCTCAGTGTCACCTGCAGTGTCCCCAAGCCCTGTTACCTGTAAGCTGCCCCGTGGGCAGTACTCAGTGATGATGCAGATGTTGGGGGGGTCGATGCACGCCCCGATGAAGCGGGTCAGGTGGTTGAACTGGATGTCTCGCATCTGCAGGTGGAAGTGGACCCAAGACAGTCCTGAGCTATTGTTCCTGCTGCCTCCCACATGCCCAGGATCAATCCCTGCACTCCCAGACAGGTTGCCTGCCCTAGCCCAGACCCCAGACCTACATGCTTTAGCTCGAAGAGCACCTGCCGCGTCAGCTCGATGCGCTTCTTGTTGATGTGCTTAATGGCCACAACATTGCCCTGGGGTGTTTGGGAAGGGGAAAAGGTCAATGTCCACTGGATGAATTTGCAAAGGGGACGAAAGCCCCTGCGGGATGGAGGTGTAGCCAGGAGGGAGCACAGCAGAGCTGGGGCATTTCAGGGGGAGGGCTCAGCTCCCTGCCTGCTGCACTGACCTTGAAGTGGCCGGTGTTGGCGAAGATCTGGTACTTGCCATGGGTGGTCATCAGGGAGCCATAGCTGGAGCCACGCTGTGGGAAGGAGGGGATTAGGGAGAGGAACCCTGGGATGGAGGGATGACCTGCACCAATGGAGCAGGGCAGGGACATCCAAGGTGTGCAGGGGATGGTGCAGGATGGGCTCTAAGGGTTAGGACAAGCTCTGCATGCTCTGTGGGAAAAGAGAAGTCTCCAGGATGAGGCACTGCACAGAATGTAGGACATGGACAAGGTATGTCTGTAGGGGATGGAGGGCAACACAGGGACTTGATGAAGTTTGGTGCCACGCAGAGGATTCAGGGCTGTGTAGAGGAAGGATCTACTGTGGCTCTGCAGGAAATGGAAAGTCATGGCAGGGATGGATGGAATAAGTCTCTATAGGGAATGGAGAGCTATATAAGGATGACAGGGCAGCACAGGGGCACGGTGGTGCCTCAGGGATGGCTCCTCTCACCAGGGACAAGGTGAGCCGGCTGCCTGCTGCCTTGTGGTACCGCTCAGGACTTCCAAACTGCAGCTCATCCCAGCGGATCCTCCAGAGCATGCTGGCAAGCTCCTTCTCCAGCATCAGCTTCCTGGGGGGACACATAGGGGTCAGGCCCCTATCCCCTCTGCCCTGCCTGCCCACCCATTAGACAGAGGTTCCCCCAGTGCTGACCTGAAGATGAGGAAGCTGGAGATGCCAAACATGACAAAGGTGAGGCCAGTACCCAAAGCCACGATGGCCAGCATAGAGAGGGGGGCTGCAGGCAGGAGAGGATATGTCAGGGTGGCCCAGCTGACAGCCCGACTGACATGCATGCATATGGAAGCTTGCTGGGGTCCAGGGGATGAGGGGACCCAGGACACCCACTTTTATCACAGGAGGGGTCATCCACATCAAAGACACAGGGAGGGTTGTCCAAGGGGGGAGCCCCCTTCACCCAGGGGATGGGTCGTCCCAGCCAGTGGATTTGCTTCTCCACACCCGAGTAGTGTCCCACCACCTAAGACAGGCAGAGAGAGATGAGGCCATCCCACACCCCACCATCCCATCCCCCAACCCCAGCCAGGGGGAACCTCTCCCCACCTCATACTGCCCGGTCTTGGGGTCACTCATGGCCCATAGGTTGAAGTCAGTGTCTCGGTCATTGTTGCTGTCCATGCTCACAAGCCCTGTGACGCCTGCAGGAAAATTAAGATGCAGGTGGGATGGGGACTGAGTTCCACCACCCCCATGGCACCCCCAGCCCCGCTGTTCCCATCCCAGTGTTACCCTGGAACTTGCGGTCCCGCATCTTCTCGATGATGTGGGTGGCGTTTTTCTTGGAGCCGCCCTCACGCAGAGTCTCATTCAGCACCATGGCGTACAGCAGCATCCCATCATAGAAACACCCCGCCACCAGGTTCATCTGCCGGGGGAATCTGAGCACGCCCACAGCCACACACGCAGGAGCATCCCAGAATCTTCACAGCAGCACCACGCACCCACCCACCGCCCCATCACCACTCTGGGGCCAACATGCCCCCTGCAGGGATGACAGTGCCTGTGGCTGTTCCCTCCAGGGATGATCCCTCTTGCACTGTCTGTGGCTGTGTTCCACCCTCTGCATTCTGGTGAAGTGTGAAGGGACCCCACCACCCCAGCACACAGGGGAACTCACTCACCAGGGAGTAGTTGAGCTGCACCCCAAATTTCTGCTTAGCTCGCAGAATGAGCTGGGTTTGGAATTGCTGGTACTCAGGGTTTTGGGGCTCATAGTAGGTGATCACCAGCACCATCTGCAATCAAGCACATCACCCTGGTTCACACTCTGGGGCCAGGCTGGAGAGGTTTCTGTCCCCAGGCAGGTGGGCACAGCTCACCTGGAAAGCCTCACGCAGTCCTGAGTCCTGGCCAGGGCTGTCCTGCCAGGGCTTGAAGGGGTCACGGGCGGAGTCACCCCGCAGGCTCTCCCCAAAGACATCCAGGTAGAAGAAGACGTAGTCGCCATTGGTGAGGTTCTCCTGTTGCGCCAGCTGCATGATCTGCCGCAGCATCTCTGGCGGCCCACAGAGATACACCACTGCCAGAGATAGGCAGGGGCTTCAGCGGGGCAGGGACACCCAGGCGCACAGCCAGGGACGGGGCAGGTGGGGCAGAGCAGCCCCGGAGCACTGGGAGGCTATGATGGAGCAAGCAGATGGGGCAGGGCTTGGCTCACTGCCTCCCTGCGACCCATGGCCAGACCCACAGCCCCTTCTGGCACTGACCCACTCCTGCCCCGTCAATCACCTCACACTGAAGGGGGACAGGAGAACAGGGAAAAACTTGCTGGAAATCATGCGGTGGATGCCCCAGGCACAGACCCCACACACCCTGATCCAGCAAAAGCCAGCCAGAGGATGCCTCCCCCCTGCACCAGTTTCCGTGCTGCTCCATGCCAGCCCTAGCCACGGAATCGGGGGGGCTGGGAGAGACACTGCAGCCTTGCGCCGGAGGCCCCTGGGGAACCCGGGCTGTGGAATGGGACAAACCCATGTTTGGGTTCGTGGCCGGCTGTCTGTGCGGCAGGAATGCGCAGGTTCCCAGATTCCAGCACCTTCGGCGGCCGCTAATTGGAAACAGAGCATCTCGCCGGTGTGACCCACACGGCAAGGGGGTGCCCGGACCCCGTCAGGACGTCCCACCTGCCCCCACCCTCTGCTGGGGGCTCGGCCAGCCCCCATGGGATGCCCACCCAAGGGCGGTGTGGGGCTGGCACGCCGCTGGCGCAGGGCATCACAGGCTGTGGGGACGGGCGCCTGAAAGCGTCCGAACCCCCCGAGCAGGGGCCCTCCGTGCCCTCGCTGAGGATCCTGACACTGCCTCCTCCCTCCCCCCGGAAAACCAGGGCCCCCGCTCCAGCCAGTCTGGCTGGGAACCCGGGATTGAGCAACGGAGGAGGCGGCGGCAGCGGGTGCTGGAGGAATGTCACGCTTGGGCGCTGGCCCCGACACACATCTCCTCTGCATGGGGCCCAGCGCCCCGGCTGGACCCGGGGAGAGGCGGCGATGGAAGCGAGGAAGGGCCGCACACCGGGAAGGGGTCTCTGCTGCTGGAAGGCACCCAGCCACACAGGAACCCAGCCGTGGGGGCAGCAGGGCTGGCAGCATCACCCACAGGGGCAGTGAGGAATCCCCCAGGTGGGAGAAGAGACTCAGCACAGCCACCTTGGGCACAGGGAATCCACAGCAATGTGGGGAGCTGCTCCTGGGCACGGGGGAGGGGGAAATCGCAGCACTGTGGGCTGTGTGTGAGCAGCAGCCTGCTTCAGGGTTTGAAATGGTTCCCTCTGAATGCTGCAATACTTCAAATAAACACTCTTAGCTTCTCCACTTTGCTAGTCCTGCATCAAGAAATGTCCCCAGATTTCTCATCCAGGGCAGGCAGCTCAGCACCTCCCCAACACGCAGAGCCTGAGGGTTCCCCCTAAAGACATAGATGGGACCCTCCCCACCCCACTGTAGGCACCAAGAAAAGGGAGCCACAGGGGCAAGGGAGCCTCAGCAGCTGGTGGCAGATGGTGGGACACCGCAGGCAGCCAGCCCCTGCGGCGGCAGCAAAAGCCTGCCTGGTCAAAGGCCACCAAGCAAGGGGATGGATGGCGCCTAGATGGCTCCCTGGGGACAGGCTGCATGAGCTGTGCAGAAGGAAGGGTCAATGCTTGGGGCTCTCCCTAGGCAGGCAGCTGCCTCCAGCTGGCAGCTTCCTGCACAGCCAGCAGTGCCTTAGGGGGCTCAGGCACCCCCAGGGGCCGGCAAATGGCCAAAGGCAGCCTCAGCATCACCCAGGACAAGGGGAATGAAGTTCAGCAAGGCTGGAGTGCATCCAGACCCCTGACTGATTTATTTAGGGGGTGTCTCTTGGATAGGCAGCAGAGTGCCAGGTCCCAGGGAAGGGGCAGGACCATGAGCATGCAGATGAGGTGGCAGAACACTGCTTGACCCCTGCATGATGTAAGATAACCCTGAAATGAGGGCAAATCCCAGGTTCAGGCAGAAAATCCCAGTTTCGAGCAGTTCCACCAGCACAGGGCACTGCAGTGCAGAGACCATGGCGCTGGCCCAGGGGGAGTGTGGGGGTGAAGACCAAATGCACTCCCCTCCAGCAGCACCACCCAGCCATCTCCCCAGGCAGGGCACCTGGGCTTTTTGCAGGCAGATGCGCCAGTAATTCTCTCAACCACAGCTCTAATTATATCAGTGCTTTTGCAAATGGCAGGAGAGACGTGGGGCCCTGCACGTCTCCCAGGCACTGGTGAGAGGGGCAATCCCACCCCCCCTCGTGCCCGTTCATTAGACCTGTGACTGTCAAGACCAGCAGTGTTAGGGGTACAAAGAGGGGCAGGAAAGCAGCTTTTTCTAGGAAACATTCACCAAACTCCTGCCCATGACTTCGGAGAAGGAAGGTGATGCCAAGAGGTACATGGTGTTACTGCAGGTCATGGATATGGATGCAGCTGAGGACGCTGCTTCTATCTCCCTGCCGTTCCATGCAGGAGTGCCAACCCCTGGGACAGCCTGGCAAGTCTCCATTCCCTGCCCCACACCCCTGAGCTAGGATAGGAGCAACACCCATCTCTGCAGCCCTGAGCACCCAACTCTGTGGGGCCAAGCACTCAGCCCCATACTCTGGCACCACTTCTGAGCTGTGGCCAGAGAGGCCCAGACCCTCTCAACATCCCTGCCCAGGCCAGGGGAACAGAACTGAATGACCTTTAAGGTCCCTTTCAACCCAAGCCTTTCCATGGTCCTGTGATACTATGACTCCAGCTTAGAAAGCCCTCAGGTCTCTGCCCCTGCCTGGCCTTCTCCCCCAGCAGCCACAACCCCCTGCCTGCATCCAAGGGATTGATTCCCACTGGAGTGATTTACAGCACCAAGATGGAAATGTTGATGGGAATCACTGATTTCAGCCCTTCTCCCTGCAGAGTCCTTTGCCCTCATCCCATAACAAGCTCCAAACCCCATGGCTGGTAATGGCACAGGGAAGATCTCCCATCCCAGTGGGGCAGCCATGGGATGCTTGCTCCATGGACTCAGCCTCACTGGCCTCAATGCTGACTGGAATCCAGCCCAGTACCCCAAAGCACTTCCCCCTGCAGCCTGGTCCTGCCCAGCCTGGAACACAAGTCCTGCTGGCCCATCTGGCTCCACTTATCCGGGCTAGATGTCCTTCCTAATGACACAGCATCTCAGAATCCATTAAGAAGCACTGCAGAGTGGCTGACTCCAGTATTGATACACCCTGCTCATCAATAATGAAAGAGCATCAGGCTGCCCTTGCTCTCCTGCTGCCTCTGTAAGCCCCTCCATTTCCTCCCGCTCCCAATATAGCTGCTCTCCTGGGGCACTCGCAAGGCACCAGATTGATTTATCCCTCCATCAGCAGGGTGAGGCAATCACAGCCATGTCCTGGGGGTGCAGCAGGGACAAGGCACAGCCTGGGCTGCCCAGGTGCCACTCTGGGGGCTCTGCCTGAGCACAGCACAGCCACCTAGGTATGCTGGCACCATGGTTCTCTGGGTATGTTCTCCAGAGAGAACATTCTCCAGAGAGCCACATCCCCTCCATCACCTTCAGCCTCTAAGGACGTGCCTGAATCACCCTGATCCTGCTGACACAGAGGGTGGGGTGCTCCCACAGGGTGCTCCTCACAGAATGTGTCCCAAGAGCTGGGGGTGTGCCTCAGCTATTGCTGGCAAAGGTTGGCTGGACTGGGGCCTAGGAGGGAGATACTGTGCCCCCTCCTCCTGCTGAATCCTGGCCCTTCCAATCACATAGGGTTTGGTCTGGGAAAGGCTGAGGTTCTCTCTTGTCCCCTGTGAACTCACCTCCTGTGCAGGTCCTGCTGCTCCTCCAGCCCCACTGTGACAAAATGTGCTCAATCCTCACTGCACCCCACAGAGAGCCCATTTTGCCCACCCCTCCCTGTGCCCCTCATGGGTCCCACTGTGCCTCCAGCCCTTCCTTGTGCTCCACAGGGGTCCCACTCTTCCTCTGGCCCCTTGCCATGCCCTACCACAGGTGTCACTCTGCCAACTCCCCACTGCACCCCATGTGAGTCCCACCAGATCCGTGTTCCCTTGCCGTGCCTCACACGGGCGCCATTTTTCTCTCCACCCCTCTCAAGTCCCACTGTGTCCTCAAACCCTCATGGTATCCCACAAAGGTGCCACTGCCTCCTTGCACTGTTGCTGCACCCCACACGATCACACTCAGTTCCCATCCCCTTGCTGTGCCCCACATGTGTCTCACTGCCCTCTCAGACACTGCTGTGCCCTGTGTGGATCTCCATTGCCCTCCAGCCCCTTATTGTGTCCCAACAGGTCCCACTGCCACCCCGGTCCCTTTTTGTGCCACACATGCATCCCACTGTATTCCCAGCCCTTTGCTGTGTTCTGCAGCGGTCCTGCTGTATCTCCATCCCCTCTCTGTGCCCCAGATGTGTCCTGCTGCTCCCTTAACCCCTTGCTGTACCCTACATGTCATCCAGAGTACCCCAGTGTCCTTGCTGCACCCCATCCTTCCCCCTGAAGTGCCCCAGACGGGTCCAATGCCCCGCACTGTGCCCCCACAGATCCCATCTCACCCTCAGCCCCTCGCTGTGCCCCGCGGAGGATTCTGCCTCCCCCCTCCAAGCCCTACGCAGATCTCCCGAGGGGAGCCCCCTCCGCTCTCCCTTCCTCCTCCCACT